ATTAGACTATAGTGAACATAAAAAACATAATGAAGGAAATTTTACTAGAGGGCTGGCAGGAAAAGTCAGTGAAAAATATGACGATTTGCATTTCCACATGCCGCCCACACCTGGAAATTCCAGGAAGTTTTCAGTGGTTTTGTGCGCGTGTGAAAATACCATATTATCTATTTGAATAACTGGTTGTCAAACATAAAGTGAATCCTGGTATCACCGCATCAACACAACACACCTAACCAACACAACGCAGAAGTTCAATAGATACATTCCCATTGATGCGTAATACTTTTTAGCACCCAGGCCAAGTATTTTAAAAAATAATTAAATGTTTTTGTTTTTTTTAAATAGAAATTGAAAATATTGATGGACTTTGATGAGTGAAATTGTCAATTTTATGAAAATTTAAGTTAATATGTTGGTCTATATTTCCTTAAAATTTAGACCAAAATTTCAAAAGATAGCTTTCAGTATCCCAAAACCATCCAACAGTGTAAACAGGGTGATATAATGGTAATGTAAAGGCATGTTAAAATGAGCAGTGATTACCTGCTCTAAAACAGTCTCAGTATAATGATGATGCCTCAATATAACTATGGTAAACTTGTTTAATAATATCTGTCCCTCTATCTTGGACAATATTGCTTCTCTTAAAGTTGGAACAAAAAAGCACAAGTCTTCTCCCTGGCTCAGTCAACACACTGATGAGAAAACGCAAATTGCATATGGAACGGGAATAGGTTGCAGGTCTCCCTTGATACACTAAAAAGTCACATGGCCAGCTATCCGACTGCTATAAAAGAAGCACACTCAGCAAATTTTCCTGGTTTGATTTTCAGTTATTCACACAATTCTAAAGTCTTTTTTAAGGTAATAAATTCTGTAGTAAATGGTTTGGGCAACACTCATACTGTACCTTATCCCTGAATTATCAGATTTTATTGAAACATTTTGTGGAAACAGGTGGAGATTATCAGATCATTAATAGTCAAACGCCTGCACATCCTTTCCGTTCTGCCTCCAAACCCTGCTGCTGTTCAGACACATTTTCAGCCAATCTCATTGAGATGCCAGTGTTGCAAAGAGATCTTGACATAAGTCATGTTATTGTAAGCAAACGCTTTCGACAGCTCTGGGGCCTGTGTGGTCGCGCTGATTAGTGTGTCGTTTCATGTTCAATTCTACTGATAGGCAGTTGATGTAGATCATAGAGGCATTCACATTATGAGATGATCGTCCTAAATTCCTGACACTGCTAGATATTTGTCACGGCTATCGTTGGACACACGATTTTCCTGGGAGCTCCTGATATTTTTGTAATATCAAATAACAAAGAGTTAGGTCTTTTACCTGCTTTTTGTAAAGCGTCTCGAGATAACATTTGTTATGAAATGGTGCTATAAAAATAATGATTATTTGATTGATTGATTGAAGACCGTGAGATTGGTCATCTTTGATCCTCTCTCACAGTACGACTTGGGTCGACTGCTTTGGAGCCACATCCACACAAAGAGCCACAATTGATGATTTTTCACTCTGTACCAAGCATTACTTGAACCTGCGCAGCCAAATCTAAAGAAACCTTAACCTGACCCCTCTCAGTAATTATTGCCCAATTTATTTATTTATGGTTTATTTGATAGGGACAGATACAATATATAAACAAACTGAAAACAGCAATCCAATGCATGTATCAGTGTTTATAGCGGATGCTAATTTGCAACACTTGTTCCTATAAAGGGCTTTTATGGATTTCTAAATTTCTAAAAAGTTACTGCCTCTAAATTGATTTGTGACGTGTGCAAATTAGATATTAGATAACTATTAGTCTTGTTTTATGACTATGCACAGTCAAGTCAAAATGACAAATGACTTGACTCCTTGCAGCTGATAAAAAGGAGACATTTCTATTTGAAACCTTTGAAAGTTTGAGTGCAGCATTTTACATTGTGGCTCAAACCATCCTGCTTCAGCGTCCCGAGTCTTGGGTTGGTCTCAAAGGGTCTGCTCTAAACTTACAACATTCCTACCTGTCAAATAGAACATGTGCGGTCCTTATTAGGAACTCCTGACATCATCTGTGTCTTGTTTCTGTCCAGGTGTTCCACAGGGGTCAATTTTAGGTCCTTTACTGTTCTCCATTTACATGCTTCCCCTAGGTCAAATCATCACTAAACATAATGTACAATACCACTGCTTTGACAATGACACACAGATGTTTCCCAATGCATTACGCTTGTTGCATTGTCTTCTGGGGAATTGGGAGTTGATTTTAAAATGTTATTATTAACTTTTAAAGCTCTACATGACCAGGCCCCTATATATATCATTGACTTACTAACTATGTGCCTGGGAAACCCCCTCAGATTAGCTGATCAGGGTTTACTGGTTGTGCCTAGTGATCGTTTAATGACAAAGGGCTATCTAGCTTTTGCTGTTCGGGCTCTGGAATGACCTACCTGATCAAATACGGTCTGCTAACTCTGTCTCTGCTTTTGAACTTTTTCTTAAAATGTTCTTTTTTGGAAGGCTTGTATATCTTTGTAAATGTTTTATTGTTGTCTGTTTTTAAATGTATTTCAATTTTCCTTTGAATTAATGTATATATAGTGAATGCGCTTGTAGCATGGAGCTGGTGAGGTTATCAGTTATTCAGAGCATTCAGATTGTTTGTTTATCGTTTATTAAACAGATTGTTAAGAAAGCAAGATGCTCGGCACTGGTCAAGCATTTATATACGAGATGGGGCGGGACTCGTCGCAAAGTAAACAAAGACAACAGATGCTGGTCAGATGATCGTTACAAAGAAAGTGAATTTGGGGGAACCAATTGCCAGGATGTTGAAGTTTGATAGATAACAAGAAAAATAAATGGATAATAAAAAAGCAAAGAATGACTGACTGACATGTGATGCAATGCAATGTTTTTGTAAATATTGTTTATGATATACGCTCTAATATTTGTATAATTCGATTTTTGTTTTGTTTAAATTGGAAATGAAAATCACAACACTGTTTACTGTCATATTGCAATAGTTTTGTTTCGCAATAGCCTACTTCATAATCACGATACAAATCAAATGGGCGGCAAGAATCGTGATAGAAATGAATTGGTACAAAATCTTATTGCCTCAGCCCTAGTAAGAAAATTCTGTTTTCAGTGTCTGAGTTCCCCATACCTGGCTTGCACGCGTTTTCAGCGTTTCTCAAACATTAAGTTATGCAGTGGGGTGTGTGATTGGAAGTCCTGATTGTTGTTTGCTTTTCCCAGAGAAGATGGCAGGCTGTTGTGATGAGAAGACCCAGTAAGTGTCGTTCAGCCACCACTTACTTTCCCATCAGATAGTCGCAAACAGCGTGTCAGCTACTTTTCTCAAATTCTTCACTAGTCTCATAAACAGCTCTATTCAGCATACACCACAAAATCAACCTCTGCTCCTGAGGGAAAAGTGATGGGAAGCTTATGACGCGTATGAGTCGCCGATGGACTTTGACCGTTTAGCTATGATAAATTGATGTTTACAAACGCCTCGCTTCTCTTCACCGCCAACCTCTTCATCAAAATATGGTAACTTGTGGCTCCCAAAACCATGGCCATGGTAAGAATGCAAACTTGAGGCTTCACAAAGACAGTTCACACACCAATGGATGACATCACAGGCTCTTTCCAATGTTTATATAGTCTAGGAGTTAGACAGGAAAAACAAACTGGCGGCAGTGATGCTGCTGCTCTCTAATCCACAGCAAAAAAAATTGTTGTCCAAGAGGGATTAATTTAATCCACATGCATCTTTGTTTAATTCTCCGACAGACACATGGACAGTTAAGGTGTCTTCCCTTTTGCCATTTATTTGAACTTGGTTCTGAGATTTAATATGTGAGATGTTTTTACTTTATTGATGCACAAGAGAAAGTATTTTTTTGTTTTTTAACTTATTTTCAAATTTAATTTCTTTGGGTTTTGGACTTTTGGTTGGGGGAAAAAGCTATCGATTTATGTGACTTTCGGTTTACATGAATCAATGGACAATTTTATGGTCAAAATCCAATAATCAATCAAGAAAAATGTATTGATAAACGACTATAGCCAGAACCACTGTAGTTCAAGAGGGGTGACACATGGCAGCGCATCATACCTGGACACAAGGCTGGGCTGTCTGGGTGAGGGTGTCTGATGATAAGACCCAAAACACCCGGTAAACCCCGAGGCACGTCACTGACGATGTGTCCAGGTTGCAAATCTTGCAGGATAGTGCTGACTTGTCGAAATTTTTGTTGTTTTGATTTCTGGCCCTTGTTGAATGTTTTTGTCCTTGCTCCAGATTGCTGTCTGCTTACATTTGTCTGATGTATACTTTTGCAAAAGTTAGATTTTTATTTATTTATTTTTATATATAATCCCCCCTAGTCTTGATTTATGTTTCAATTAACTTGTTCCCGTGTATTTTGCTGTTGTATGTTCATCCTCTATAAGAATTTGTATAAACATTATTTGTATGTTTTAAATTTGTCAATAAAGACGGATTAAAAAATAAAATAAAATAAAATGTGTCCAGGTTGCACGACCATCGTTTTTTACAAAGTTTACAACTAAGAGCCTGAACGACACTGAAAGAGGTGGAATTGCCTCTGTAGTTTTCAAGAATAAACCAATTCTTACAGAAATTCCTTCAAAATACATGAACCAATAGGAATGCAGCTTTCAGCTTTACCTAACCCTGTGAAGAATAGAATAAATACAAATAAATACAATCTGAAACTAGGGGTACTAATGGCTAATGCACGAATTTGACCTTAAAAAGCGAAAGTAAGATAGTTGGCCTGTCTTCCTACTTCCTGTGTGTTCCTGTGTGTGTGTGTGTGTGTGTGTGAGTGTGTGTGCGTGCGTGCGTGCGTGTGTGTGTGTGTATATATGTGTGTATGGTGTGTATATATGTGTTAGCCCCTCCCACAGGCTCGTGACGTTTCAGTCTGAATGTCGCCAGCAGCCCTTCAGTTGTAGAAATGGCAGCGCTGAGACAGGAGCATCGGTATGGGCTCTCCTGTGGCAAAATCAACAAAAACACCCCGAACCAAACCCTGTATCACGTCAAACTCACTGACACTGCCATCCGGACCCTCGAAGCCTTCCAGAACCTGAAGGTAAGACAATTACACGCTTGAACTTTTGGAGCTTCTGTGTGTTTTTTTAAAGCGATATTGTCATTTTTTTCTCAATCGCCTCTCAACTCCGGGAAATGTAGAATCCTTACTGGAAAAGGCAGCTCTCTCTCTCTCTTCTTTCTTTCTTCCTTTCTTTCTTTCTTCCTCTTCTTGCTTGTTAAAAAGGAGAAAAAGTTTAAAGCTGAGCTGAAATGTCGTCGACAAAAGCTTTTAGTGTCTGATAAAATGTTGCTTTTAGGAGGCTGTGATAGGCTACAGTAGGCTTTGAAGAAAGGCAAAAAGATTGATTGATTGTGATTTTAACATTTAATTCCTCCGATTTTGATGAATGTGGGAATTTCATTGAATTAGTTGAGTTAAAAAAAAAAAAAAAAATAGTTTGGAAGCAGAAATGGAGAAAGGCTCGGGCTACTTTGTGTTGTGTTTGTCAGCTTGTTTACCAAATCTCCCGAATACCAAAAGGGTTTTAAAGTTCCCCATATGACAGAGGTTAGTGATTGTAGACTGGCTTCTCTGCCTTTTTATATACCAACCATAACATTTCAAATTCATTATAGAGATTAGAAGCCAACACAGATCGTTAAATGTATTTTTAAAGTTGTTTTTTTTTTTTTTTTTTTTTAAATGCCCGTTTCGCTCTCGGGAATACATTAATGAACAAGCTATCAAGCAACTTATAATGCTCTGAATCAGGAGACTGTTTTTTATTGCTTTTATGGTCCATTAGATTAGACTGAGATCATTTAGTCTATGCAAATGGTCTTTCCCAGAGCAGTTCTTGATAAGACAGTTAGGACTTCAGTGTATGAGGATCATTTAGAGGAGGAGTGTTTTCCTTCTTGGATGTTCAGCTGTGTGTGTAGTCATCCCAGGGGCTCGGCAAGTTGAACTGAGCTCTTGTGTATTATTGTTTTTAATGCTCCTTTTTTTTTTCACGGCTGGAGAATGAGAACCCGCCCAGCTCCGGAGCTCATTGGTCTGTGAAGCAGAGAGTGAACTCCAGAGCTCTCTCTCAGCCTGACAGCTTCCTACCAGACTGCACAGTTTTTTACTATTACTACAGCGTTCAGAGTCCAAGACCACCCCCAACAAAAACACCACCAGACCCCCTCGATGTGGCCTGAAAGATTTACTCTTCTGCTTCTGACAGAGTTGTTGTCAGTGGATAATATGATTTATGATTTTTAATGTCTGTATTGTGGGTGAGATATCAGTGCGTGCCAATTTATTTTATTGTTTGGGCTTCAGCAACAGATTTACTGTTTGGGTCAGAAAATACTGGAAAATGTCACAATAAGAACTATATATGTTGATTATTTGTATTTCTACATGAGGCTTTAAAAACAGCAAATATTCCATCTTCAGAATCAGCATTTATAAACTCAAACCTTATCATACCCCTTGATACAATTTGGCTAATTGTGAGAATCAAGATTTATTAATGACATTGATCAAACAATATAAACAATAACTTCTGGGTTGCCAGGTTTAAACAAAGTCTCCTTGATTGTAACTGTTTGGTAATCTATCCGTTAACACTTCTGAATGAGCTGTCAGTTGTAAACAAGTTGTTATTAAACAATTTGTTCCCTAATTGCTCAAAATAGAAGACAACAACAAAAGCCTGGCAATCCAGAATCTGAAGTATTAGCAGGAAGTAGTTCTGATTAATCCTCTAATTATTTCAGAAGATGATTATTCACAGACAGATTATTATTACATTATATGTTAAAAGATAAATTGCTTAATGGTAGACCTCCTATCAAAACAATCTGACCTTGTAATAAGTGAATCAGAGCTTGGGCCCCTCAGGCTGTGTGTGTAATATGTAACAAACATGACGTGCTTGAATATTTATTATTCTATTCAATATTAAAAGCGGGCGGATGATGATGAAGAATATCATAACAATACTCCTCCATGGAGAAGATATTTCCCCCCAAACCATTAATAATGAATTAAGAGCGCTGTCAATCACAGGCACAGCTGTACCTCACAGATAAAAGTCTCCCATGTATTAACTATGTATCATGTTGCCTCAAAGGCAGATACCTACTCCAGGGTTTGAATATTCCTTTATCAGCAGGAGGGAGAGAAACAATAAGACGTTAAAGCAGGTATACAGCGTGGGTTTGAGGAGAGCAGCACAGTCACAAAGTGAGGCACGGAGGGCTTATAAGTAAAATACTTTTTTAAAGAAAAGTTTCAGAAGAAGCTATGTCCCTCCTCTGGGGTTTGTTGTTGCCTTCAATCATTAAATGACACACACAAACACATAAACACATGTTGAATGGTATAAGCAACGTTTTCTGGAGTTTTCTGCTTCTATTAAAAATTGCTATATAAGTCTGTTATATTATTATTATCAATTGATCACACACTCTCCTCTGAAGATTAAGGCTTTTTAATGTCACACCTACCCATTCACACACTGATGGTAGTGATCGCTATGTAGTATCATCCATCAGAAGTAACTTATCCCATTCAAACACCGCTACCGAAGCAGCGGGAGTTAAGTGTCTTGCCCAAGGACACATCGGACATGTTGCCCAGCTGGGGATCGAACTGGCGACGACTCTACCAACTGAGCCACAGCCGCAGTTTAACAGCACAGCTAGTTTGTAAAATAGGAAACACGACGACTTGATTAAGGAAAGTTAGATTAAGCCTTCCTCGTTACTCCAGACTGCTGCCATCCAGAGAAATCCTCTTTGCAGTGCTGTCTGTTTATTGATAACATATGAGCTATTGATTAGATTAAACCTGAACGTGACTCCTGAATCAGTAACCAGTTTCACCTTCCTCTCTCTCTCTCTCTCTCTCTCCTCAGGCATCCCTATCGAATCAGCCAGCCATTTGCTTCAAGGGGAGCCAGGGGGTAAGACGTTTTGCATATACTCTTCCCAAATGCCTCCCTAATTGAATTCTCTAATTAGTTCTGATTTGCTGTGGAGCACACTTGTGACAGTCACTCTGCTCGTCACTTTTGGTCTTAAGCGTTCAATAGGCAGAGTGATGTTTGTACAAAGACGCCGGCCTCTCGGGACTTTTGGTTTTTGTGCAGCCTGTAGATTATGTTACCTTGTTGGAGTTTTTTTTTTTTTTTTTTTAGCCTGAGTGACAGTTGCCATTGATTTATTCATTTGTACTGTGTTGTGTCACATATCCTCGCCTGCATGTGGTCATTTAGAGAAGAGCGACATCATCTAAAACCTCTGGAGGCAAAAGGGCAGTGATATGAAAGTGTAAGGCATTCACTTCAAAATGTGAATCCATAAATACAAAGAAAAAGGTTTGGATTTGATCTGAACCAGGGTCCTTTTGCTCAGTTTAATCCCCTCTCAACTCAACATCAGAGCCATATAAAAATATTTGTGTAGTATTTGTGTGTTGTGTGTGTGTGTGTGTGTGTGTGTGTGTATATATATATATATAAGGAGGTAGTTATATACGCACTTTTCGTAGGTGAAGGGCATTGTAAAATCAGCAGAATCAGGAAGAAGATAGGCCCGCACACTTGCTCAAAAGCCAGCTGATTGGTCGGTACAGTGCATGCTACATTTCTGCAAGAATGAAGGTCCAGCTCATACACCCTGCCCCCTCTTTTCCTATACTTTTTAACCAGAATATATACATTGCTTAAAACAAGAAACTTTCTGGAGTTATCTCAAAAGCATATTTAAGTAATCAGTTAAACGTTTCGGGCCAAATAATGTGCGCTAACTTTTCACTTAGCCACATTGAGCTAACTTGCAGTAGCACATGTTCTTCATAAAGGTGAGCGCTTCTTTCAGGACTTCAGTGTTTCTCTAACATTCAGAGAATTCCTTTTTCAGAATTACTCATTTCAAAAAACAAACATGATGAACACAAAATGTTTTTGTTTTTTTTAACTCTCAAGTGAATGTATTCTCCACTTCCGTACATTCCTGTAAAACGTTGGTAAATAAAGATGCCTGTGTTCGGCTAGAGTAGCGCTCTCCCTGCCTCGGCCTGCTATTAGGCTACTACACAATTTACCACACACAATCAGCCGTGTTTAAAAGGAGCCGTTCTAATCCCTGCAAGAGCCGATTGCATCGACGAAAGTGACTTTGCTTTGTACACAAATGCCGGCCTGTGCGCTCGCATCGGGCCCATGGCAGCCCTGAAGACAGGTCGTGCTGTACCCCCAGGCTGCTAGCCAGGTTACTGGGTCAGGCTCGGCAACTGGGGAGGCTTTGTTCAAGGGAGGGGGGGGGAGGAGGAGGTAGGGCGAGTGTGCGAACCCCTGGGAGCCCCCACGCCTGTTGTCTCTGAAAGATTGGAAATACAGGAATGATACGTGAACACAGGAATTTTTTTTTTTTTTGCCGACAGCACACGAGGAAAAATATGTCCGGAACAAATAATATCTGTAAACATGTGCTGGAACATCTGGAAAAAAACCGGCAGCTAGATTAACAAGCCTATAAGAGTGTGTCTGTGGAGAAATGTTAAGTGAGAGCAATTTAAGTGTTCTTTAATCACTGAATGGGATTTGGTGATTATATCACGGCTGGCACATTACATATTCAAATTGCTTTGCGGAATTTGAGCACCCGGCTCCCTCCCCCCTCCGACAATAGTCCCCCCCCCCCCCCCCCCCGAGCTGGACCACTGGGCATTAATGAGGTAGCTGCAAACATCGGCGGCAGTGGGGGGAGGCCAGATTAAGCCGTTAGAGACGGGGGGAGGATGTTGGTGAACATGGCTGTGTAGCATATTACAGACAGAGAAGATCACAAGTATCTATGTTGAGCAGGTTGGAGGTTTATAGCGTCACAGGTGTAGGTCCTCCATTTCTTTTTTTATCTCCTGGGTTAAGTGTTTGCCGGAGCTCATCCCTTTCCCCCAAAAAGCATCACTGGGGTCAAGAGGTCGTGTGGTGCACTGACAGCTACCAGCTGTAGGGCCTCGATCGCAGGAGCCAACGACTGCTCCCCCCCCCCTCTGTCACATTTCCTGTAAAAGGGCATTTCTAGGGGCCACAGAAACCAGAGGAATTCTTCAAATCACTGTCCTGGCGTCAACTCAGGGGAATCAGCGGTACCAGAGGCCAAGGCTTCTACCAAGAAATAGCACGCTGAGGTTTTTTCAACATGCCGTCCTCTCTTACCCCCGTGGCATTTTAGCCCCCGCTGTTGTAAACTGTCTGCCAAGCTTTGTAATCATGCGTTAAAAGACACAAGCTCTTATTGGACTCTTAAAAACCGGTGCTCAGTGCAACTGTGAAACGTGCAAATCAAAAATAAATCCAGCTAACGTTCCCTTTTTTTTTTGATTGGGTTAGGGAAACAGGTTTGGAGGAAAGTGAACTGTATGGGCTTGATCAATAACCATCGTCTGGAGCAGTGAATAAAAAAATAAATAAAAAAAATGGAGACTGTGATGTAACTAGTAAGAAATAAGAGAACTAGAGGGCTAAGTATGTCCCCCCACATTTCATTGAAGCTTGAAAGTTAAAAAGAAATCCGATTCTTGATCACCAGGGATTAAAGAATATAGTCAGAGCCGGTCTGCGTTTCCCATGGCCTGGAATTTCACATCCTAGTGCTCGTTTTCCTCTCGGGCCGACAACGGCGCCTCTGTGTGTTTGCATGATCCATATCCACTTTGTGAGAAATGAAGCTTGTGTTTCTTTCTTATTTACGAGAGCCATCCTGCAGGCGGCACGATGATTAGGAAACAGTGCAAGGAAAATAGATTTTCCTTGATGTTTGTGTCGTACCACTGGGTTAAAGCTTTACAAGCGTATAATGTTGTCGCAGTAAAAACACAAGACATGACGTTCGAATACGGTATGTTAATGCTGTATCAGGTGTGACGTCAGTTTAATTTCCTCCTCACGTCATAAATGTTGAACTTCAGAATGCGAGAGTAATTGTTTTTTTTTGTTTATGGCCTCTGTCTGTATTTATGTGCACAGCTGTCACATAGAGGCAGCCGCGTTGGGGGATGAGGGGAATGCAGAGGCGCTTTTTTCGAGATATTCTTTATGACGACTGTGTGTGAAGAGGTAGCTCCCTCTCCCCCCTGAGCTCCCTCCCTCCCCCCTGAGCTCTCTTGATTATTTTTTTGCCATTTCGCCCCGTGCCTCGGCTGAATCCTTAGGAGACATCAGGGCCTCTATCTCACACACGGCTTGCTCTGACTCGACCCCCCACCATCACGCAGCTTTGCCTCGCCTCCTGCCTTCACTGCAAATAAGCTTTTTTTTTTTTTTTGCAGTGTGCGAGTGTGTGTGTGTGTGTGTGTGTGTGCATTTTTTCTCTCCTTTTTTTTTTCTTTCTGGAAGCTAATTAGAATAACAATAACAGGAATGTGGTCTGAGAGCCGTCCTTTCCCAGTGGCACACAGCAGTGAGAGGGAGAGCTGTCCCACGTGTTTCTGAAAGGGCACACGCCGCTCTATTCATCCAGATGTGTTAAGCGAGGCAAAAGTCTCTGTGTTCTCAGCTCGTCTGAGGCCCACTGTTTATGCGCAGCCAAGTCGGCCTTCGGATCGGTAGATCACACAGTATATATTTTTAGGAACAAGCCTCATGAGATCCTGAAGAGGACTTTTTTTCTCGAGTTGGCTCCTCTGTCATTATTGTCGTCTTAAGCTTCAGACAAGCTTCAAACACAATTTTTTTTTTAAGTGATCCCATGGTGACTGTGGCAGTGGTTTAAGAGGATTTTATAGTTACAAGAGTGCAGTGAAAGATCCGAAATCTGTGACACTAACTGGGCGGGCAGTGCGATCAAAGGTGGCCATATGTAAGGGTAACTCACAGAGAGTGGAGTGTTTCTTGTTGCTGCTTTGTTTTGTTTCTCATTTACATTCCACGCTAATCCAGAACTACTCCGACTAAAGATGTAACAATCACCCAGGCTAACAGGAAATAACAGGAAGAGAAACTCTCAACAACAACACAGACTTATTTGAATAAGAGAGTGAATATGCTGATTTATATATTCTTTAAAGGCTTTATATGTGATTTTTCACACTTTAATATAATATAGATCAAGTGTATCCTCTGAAAATAACTGTGAGTCATGACTGTCTACAACGGGTGTAACACCCGAGTCCCACTGTCTGTGATGTTTTCAGAGTTTTCAGAGTCCTATCTTCACTTTGTTTACATCGCCAGGACGGCCGGCTGACTCCTCCCCTCGCGTATAAAAGTTGTTTAATTGAGGGACTAGAGAAAAGAAGAATAACATACTGTACTCACTGCTTAACTGTGTTTCTAGATCACGCTCATTTCAGGTAAATTTACATGCAGTGTGAAGATACCAGCATAATAAAGATCGCTAGCATTAGCATGCTAACACAACAATGCAGCGCAAGTTGTTTTGGTTTCATGCTGGTGCTCAAGGGCGACATCTGCTGGATGAAAAAATCACATATAAAGCCTTTAAGTGATAGACTTGACATCCTGAATATCAGCAAACAAAGATCTGAAAATTCAATTTGAACAACCACAATATATTAGCGTAAAAGCAGTGAACCGGAAAAGGAAGCACAACTGATAATTAAACATTTTAGGACGGTTAGTTTATTTGCGTATAATGCATATTGGTATTCGATTGGTATTAAAATTCAGGCGTTGACAGTAAGTTTCCCTTCACCTTTAAAATGTATTGCTCTGTTTATTGTATTCTCAGAAAGATCAGCTACTTATAATAAGGAAGCTGTTTACATCTTGTAGCTCACCATTGTGCTATCGAACTGTGTTCAAACCAGGATTTATACTATCTTAAAATACTGAGCTGACTAAATGGACGCTATCTTTAAAAATGTAAATCAATGTTACAGTCTTACTGTGCACCGCTGTTTATTATTAATCTACCATTAAGTCATAAGTTGTTGTTG